AAGAAAAACCCTAGATTTCAATTCTCTCCTCAAATCCAGATGAAACCCTAATCCTCTCCAAAGGAACTAATTCAAACAACGAGGACAAATACAAAATCCCTAAACAGCCCCCTAATTCAAAATTTCACTCCCAAAGCAAGTTTAATTAAGTCGTGGGCCCCATCACTCCAACCGGCCTCTCTTCCTCCCTCCCTTGGTTCCGCTCCCTCATTTTGTAGCAAATAACCGGTCCAACCTAGACTGGTTCAGCTGGCCCTAGGGACGGCCTAACAGATGCTAACCGTCCTAACTGCTGAATACTATTTTCAGGTTGATGGTGTTCAAGGAATAATGGCAGCTTATGCTAGTGCTCTTCATAATGTATCCTTGGCTGGACCTACCCTTTTCGGACCTGTTATTAACACTGCTGCAGCATTAGCTGGCCGATCACTTGCCAACAACCAGCAGAAGTATTTTGTCTTGTTGATAATCACGGTAATAAACAAATTACTATCTTCATGTTTGGCAACTATATCTAAGCTGAATTTACCCTTCATTAGGATGGGGTGATAACAGATCTTCAAGAAACTAAAGATGCATTGGTGAGAGCATCGGATCTGCCTCTTTCAATCCTTATTGTCGGAGTTGGTGGCGCTGACTTCAAAGAAATGGAGGTACTCACTTCTATCACTGTCTATTTAAACGTTTTACAAACAAACTTGTTAAAGTAAATTCTCTTTGGTCATTCAAATTTCATTTTTAGTTTGGGAGATTGACATACATAATAATGAATTCTTATGCATTTGTAAGCGTGACTTCTAAATTTTTATATTAGTTTATATAATGCATTAGTTCCTGGTTGACACCAAAATATTAACAATGTTAATTTTTCTAAAATGAAATACTAGTTTTCATGAACTTATTTAGATTTGGTTTAGATAATAATGTTACATAAAAATAAATATAAAGATATAAGTGTTAAATATATAAATATATAAAAATAATATGATATGCACATAAATTCAGCTTTCAGGTTTTTACTTTTGAATGTATTTCAAGGGTCAAACAATTGTCATCATTCTAGGATTTTTTTTTTAATCTCTATGGATCAGAACCAAATACAAGTGCTAGAATAGCTTTTCTACTCTGTTACTAAGTTGTTGGAAATGCCATGTAGATCTTGGATGCAGACAAAGGAGAGAGACTTGTCAGTACAACCGGACAAGTGGCAACGCGAGATATTGTACAGTTCGTTCCAATGAGGGATGTTCAGAGTATGTGGATCTTTCTCATTAATTTATTGCTTTTGCATCTTGAATAATATTTAAAGCTCCTTCACCTTGCCCTCTCCAAATCCCTTTGATTACTAAACAATCCCATATTGTATGATTATAATTCAAGCATAAATAAATTCTGTCAATGAATGGTCAGACGAAACAATATTGAGAGAGTACTAACCATTCTTCCCCTGGGAGGGGAAATCGGCCATTTAGAGTTTCTCCTCCTTTGAGGAGAATGACTATAGGTTCTAAGTAATATCAACAAATGTATCTAATCCATGTCATGCGAAAGATCCCACACTAAAATTCACAAGCATGCTCTTATGCTATCAAAAACCATACAAAGATTATTGTCATAGACTTCAAAAATAAAATTACAACATTAATAATGTAATGACTCTTATTTTGATATCAAACATAAAAAAAATACAATATGTTTTAGTAACTTATAATAAAGAGAAATATAAATGATTTAAATTTCATTAAAAATTTACTAAATAGCATGCTAAATCGGTTAGATACGACTCTCTGGTGCCCTTTTCATATACCACACATGCTAAGTTTTATTGTTTTTACGAATATTAAGCAAAAAATCTGTAAAAATATGACTTCAAATATATGCCCTTTCAAAAGGAGATTATTCTGTGCAGACGCCGAACGCCGTCCAGAGACCAATCATAATGCGTCATGTCAGCCCCTGGTACCGCTGCTCGGTATTGCTGACGTGGTGCATTCTGGTTGGTCTTTGGATGGTAAACTGCATTTGGCGTCCGCACAAAATAACTTCTCTTTCAATGTAGAGCAAATTCCTGATCACCCTAGAAATCTGGTGGCATACCCTTGTAGTTTTTTTGGATTTTTTATTTCAAGTTCTTCCATGTGGAATTAGTGTAGTGTCTGTACTACTGGGTGCTGCATACCTTTAAATTTTTTTCAGTGGATGCTGCCTTCTAATCCGACGCCAGTGAAGCCATAGCCTTCATTTTTTTTTTGTTAAATTTTGCCTTTAAATCCAATATTACTGAATCCTTTTGTTTCACTCAGTTTTCTAATCCGTAACAAATTGCTTGCAGGTGGTGAATTGTCAGTTGTGCATGCTCTGCTTGCTGAATTACCTGGACAGTTCTTGGCTTTTATGCAGTCCAGAGATATCAAACCATTGAACTAATTAACTCATTGACTAATTGTTAATTTGTTCATAATTGCATCAAAAACTTGATTTCCTGTTTAGATTTCAGAGGATTTTCTCCCTTTTTGTTTTGTTTTTTTTTTTAAATATTTCTTCTGCTGCTCCATTCATTAAGAAGCAAAAGCTGCCATACTTATTGTTGGGCAGATGCAATAGGATAGTTTCATTGCAAAGAAATATTTGTGCCTTTGTGGTTTAATGCTCAGTCTGTGTTGGGCCAGTTGGAATATTTTTGTTAAACACACTAACCCATTAAATGTGAATAGTTCAGCTTACTAAATGTTTCCCCCTTCTCTATCGTTAGATGTTTTGTTGCACAATTGTGCAATTGGATTTTTGCATGCTCTGCTGGTTTATGGATTTGCTTGTGAAAAACCATTTTGACTGTCAGAAAAGAAAAGGGATTAATTATTTTGTGCGGATTACGGATACCGAACATCGTCTGGAGACTAACTAAAATGTACCACGTCACTCCTTCGCTCGGTACCGTGGTTCGGTACTGCGGCTCGGTACTCTTGACGTGGGCATTCTGATTGATCTTCGGATGGCATTTTGCGTCCAGCTTTCGCATAGAATAATCCCTCTAGAAAAGGGGTTATGATTGCAGGACTAATACAAATAGTCCTATGTAATTTTGATCTGTTAGTTGGAAGTTTTGGATATCAATAAAGAAATTTTGGATTCGAAGCTTATATTATGATATGTATGAGCTTGCTTTAATTGACTCTAAAGTTCCAAAAAAAAAGAAGTCCTGTTACTATTTGGATTTATAAATACGTTGTTATAAATAATTTAATGATTAATAATTTTTTGATTTCTTTTGTGGTATTTTTCTCTCATGCACTTAGGAGTGTAATTTTGTCATTATTTAAAGTTTTTTTTATAACTCAGCTTACCTTATAATTAATTTGTTTAAATCAATTGAATGGATAATCCAATGAGCTAATAAACAAGATTAAGGCTACGGTTGAGATGGCTTTTTTATTGCTTTTTAAAGTAAATTTTTAATAAATTTTTTTTTTATTTTTGTGTTAAAAAATTATTTTAAGAAATAGTAAAAAAGTCATTCCAAACAAAGCCTAAATATCAAATGCTTTTCATGTTAAAAAATGATTATGTAAATTTAAATAAGCAAGTAAATTAATAAATATGAGATTAATATCTAATTATTTAATTTTAATCAAACATGAATCAATTAAATGAGATAATAAATTTTCTTAGGATCATATAACAAAGTAGTGCTAAAAAGTTATACCTCAAAATAAATAAATAAGGAATTGTATTAAATTAACATGAATATTCACTAATTTGAAGATTAATTAGTTTAAATTTTTTCAAAAATGTTGGGTGGTTGGAAAGATTAAGAGGTTGAAGTGAAAAATATGATATGAGAGTTAACATATACCAATAAATAAATAAATAAATAAATAAATACTATATTGCTAATTAGTTAGTAGTTAACCAAATTATATTTAAATAAATTTTAATCAATTATTAATTGAGCTTAATATTATATTCATAAAAGTTATTTGCTAAATAACAATAAATTTATTTGTGAATGTAAATAAATGAGTTAGATTTTATTCTAATTTAGTTCATTAAGCACTTTTGAGTTTTTTTTAAAAACTAAAATTATTTGTTTACTAACTTAAATGACTGTTAATGTATATTAGTGGATTTAAATTTGAGTTTTTCATCAAGAATTATTCACTTAAAAGCTCTTTTAATCAGAAATTCACATTTCAAATAAAAATTATTCTTTTGATCATCTTGTTGTTTCTCATCCAAAATTATCTTATTATTTATCTGGAATTTTATATACAACAAATTAAACAACACATGAATTTTCAATATTTTATCTATGTAATAATCAAAGAGTAAATGCAATTTTTTAAAAGATTCATGTAATGAATATTTAGAAATGATCATTTTTTATTAGATTTAAATGAGAATTTGACTTTTAACAGAACATAATGAAGATAAAAAGATTCATATAGCCGAGGTGAACAAAGACTTAATGTTGATGTTGCTGTTGTTGTTGTAATAATCAATGAGTATTGTTCTATGTTTGAAGTATTGATGACGGAATGTTCTTAACGTTCTCTTCTTCATTCCATTAAAAAAAAAAGAAAAAAAAAATCATTCCACATACTATGAAAGATTAAAGGTGTTAATAAATGATCAAACCTATCAACCCACCTTAGGAAATCAAAAATTGAGTTGACCCATTTAATAAATAGATCCAAATCGAGTTAGCTTTTCTCACCTGTTTATTAAACTTGAACATGTTAGATTTAGATTTACCCACCAACCCATTTTGGACCAAAAAATATCGTTTAATACTTTTCTTTAAAAAAGTTTACTTATTGTTATAATATTCTTTTTTAATCAATTTCATAAACTTTATATTTGGGTCGGATCAATTTCTGATTGGACCGAAATTCAATTCATTAACCAGTTTTAACAATGAAAAGTATATTCACCAAAAATCAAATTGCTTCCTCTTTAGGGCATCTCCAACCGGAAAACTCAATTTTCACTCCAAAATACAGTAATACATCAAAATGCAGAAACTCGTCTCCAATTGAATTTCATTTTCAAACATAAAAAAAAAGAATATTCATAGTATATTCTTTCACATAAATTATTTTATATATTTTTAATCATATATTTATATTAAAAAAAATAGTGGGTGAACAGTACGATGCCACCTGCAAGCAAATAGCGAAAAGTTTAGCGTTCGGCTTGAGTAACCGAACGGCGCCATACACATATTTGACGTTCCGCTGGAGAAGGCCTTAATAAACAAAATCGAATACACCATCAGAGTAGAAGCAGAATTGAAAGACATCTAAAAGCTCTTCCTTCATAGAAAGTAAATGACAAATATAAAGTAATCAATGTTTTCTTACCTAGCAATAAGCAAACTGGCTTTCAGCAAGATGGTCACTGGTTTCACTTTGGCTTACCAAAAAGGGGGTTTCTGAACGAGGGAACAGAAGCTTCAGGCGGAAGGCATCGACTCCATTGAGGTAGTAACGGAACAGCCTCTTCGCCCTGATAAATCCTAGACGGCCATACAGAGCCAAAGCTCCCTTGTTTGTAACTTCTGCTTCCAATGTCACCTGCCAAAAGATTTCAATACATGGTGAGTTCGACTGCATTGCTGCAGGAGCAAATGAGCTTTATGCCTCATCAAATATATTTGGATTCAGTCAAGTTTGGTTTAAATTATTTCATCATTTCCTTATAAACTACTAATTATTATAAATTGCGCATCTTAGCTGGTGGTTGTAGGATAGAACACATTTATGAAGCTTGTATAAGCTTACAGTAGATGTGTGGGGAAAGAGGTAATTGAACAAAGGAAAATGGTATAGAACAGATTCATTAAAGCTCTGGATGTTACACATGAATTGAAAAAAAAAAAGGAAATGGAAATGCTATGAAGTAAGAATATTTAGAGAAGAGAAGGCCTTATGCGTCGGCCTCAGGCATATTTTGGACATGAACAAGGCTCATACACGCCTGACGTAGAGCTACGTACTCCCAGAGCTAAAATCGCACTAAAAACGAGATCCAAAGCATATACCGAGCAAACAATACAATAACGAGGATATTCATCATCGTGAACGACAATCCGAGTTATACCGAGCTATTACCGAGCATACAAAAAAATAACCGTTTTTTCCTAGGAAAAACTCTGGTATTTTTGACTCGGAAGCTCGTATATAACTTAGGTATTGGTCTTCACATGATGATATTCGCTCATTATTACAAATAAACCTAGCATACCGAAGCAAAACCGAGTTTTTTGGCGGTGGGAGGACGTAAGCTCTACTCAGGTGGAGTAGACTTATATAATTTTTCCGTACGTAAGAGGGCACACCGGAACAGCATCCTATTGAGAAAAAGCAAGAAGAAAGTAGCTCGATTGGGAAACACTCCACCAATCTTCGTATTTTCAAAGTATAACAATTTTGTTCTTTGCTTGCTAAAGTACCACAATCGAAAAAAAGAGATTTTAATGATTCTCTCTGAAAACTTGTGTCTATTGATGCAGACAACGGACACGACACAGACACGGACACGGGACACTGCAATTTTTAAAATATAGGACATGGGGATAGGCGTGGAAGACACGATAATATTGTTTTTAATATAATATTATAATAATTTTTAAAAATATAAACAACGAACACGGCTTAAGACAGATGGCTCTTGTTGAACCTTCACTAATCCCACCCCCCATGCCAGAGCAGAAGCTCATTTTGCTAACAAACCAATCATACATATGAGTAACACAAATCAAATATGATATGAAGTGAAATCAAATATCCCAATAATAGACAACATGAATACCAACTAATATACAGTCTGCGAGCCTAAGGGGCTGCCCCGACGGCGCAAGGTTTATCGTGAACACCTTGCCAATGAATCGCGAGTATATATATTACAAGGTTTGTGCGGAGATACTAATAGAGGGGCATCGTCCTCGTTTGTTAGATGAGGGTTTCCGGGGGAGCAATATAGAGCGCCCCAGTAACTATAAATTATGATATTGTTATAGAAGTAATATTTGATATGTATCTGAGCTTTGTGATTTTTAAAGTTCGTAAGTTGTTTGTATGGGAAGATACCGAGTGGTACTGAGCATGTACCTAGCAGTACCGAGCATATACGTAGCAATACCGAGCATGTAACTAGCAGTACTAAGCGGTACTGAGCATGTACCCAGCAGTACCGAGCATATACCCAGCAATACCAAGCATGTAACTAGCGGTACTGAGCGGTACCGAGCATGTACCTAGCAGTACCGAGCATGTACCAAGCGGTACCGAGCATGTACTGAGCGGTACCGAGCATGTACTGAGCAAAACTGAGCATGTACTGAGCGGTACCGAGCATGTACTGAGCGGTACCGAGCATGTACTGAGCGGTACCGAGCATGTACTGAGCAATACCGAGCAATATCGAGCATGTACTGAGCGGTACTGAGCATGTACTGAGCGGTACCGAGCATATATTGAGCAATACCGAGCATGTACTGAGCAATACCGAGCATGTACTAAGCGGTACCGAGTATGTACTGAGCGGTACCGAGCATGTACTTAGCAGTACCGAGCATGTACCTAACGATACCTCATTTAATAACCGGACATGCGTGTCCGATTTTAATTTTATTTTTTTTAATTGCGACACTCCAATGCCGTGTCGGACACGTGTCCATGCCGTGTCCGACACTGCATACCCTCTCTAAGTGTCGTGTCGGTGCATCATAGGCTGTGCTTCTTTCAATCAAGTTCGAGAAGTAGTATGTCAGGGTCATTTCAGATGGAAAGACACTTAAATATGGGCATGGATTGGAAAAATAAGGCATATAACAGGCCAAGACACACATAGTTATATTTGGTTTGATTATTTTGATGAGGGTATTGGCATTTAAGTCTTTTGGATTTTTTGATATTTTATATACAATATTGATATTAGCAAATTATGTGACAATTGAAAAGTTTAATGAATGCTAATGTTAGATTGCTATTAACAAAAATTAAATATCACATGTGATAAATATTTCTATTAGTTATTAATAGTGTTTGTTTTTCTTTTATCATTGTTAACTTTCTTTTGTGATTATTACAAATTATGTGAACATGTGAGCCACAACAAAAACCAAACAAATTTTTTTCAAGGATTAGGTAGGATATTAATTTAACAATGCATTTGCTCACATTTCTTAAATGTAGTTACTCATTAATTATATTGGAACAAAATACCAATCATGAAACTTTTAAATTAAATGAATTTCATTCCATCCATTTCCATCAAATCATACCTATGAGACCAGTATGGGCAATGAGTAGGAAAATGACATTCAAAAGGAAATAGATGTAGCCAGAGGAAAAATTTCATAGTTCGAAAGCAAGCAGACAGAAGCATATGAAGCACATATACTTCATAGGATCTAATACTGATGTATTATACATATCATATACAAATAAAACATATGCCAACCATATGAAATACCAAAAACAGCATTTCTTCCTATTTAATAAAATAAACCACATATAAAAAGGGAATATTATAAGGATTCACTACGTTAACACACCTCGTATAGACCCACAAAATTCTTGGTTGCTTAAAGGGGCCGGCACAAAATTATTTAGGAACCTAGGGAAGATCAATAGTCCATTTTCGAGAATATTACCACAAAGGTTTCCAACTCTAGTCCTAGTTATCTGATAACATTACCGCAGCCAAGTTGTTATTACTTTTCTTTGAGGAAGATGAGCACTTCTTGAGCTTCTTTGCAAAGAGAGAGAGAAAGAGGAAGGAGAGGGAGGGGGAGTGAGCAAGCTAACAGGAATTTAAAATTCCTTTATTCAATCATCATGGAGCTTACAAGGGGTCCCACTTGCAACAACCTACAATGTTTATATATAAGCATTTAAATTTGGTAGATGTCTTACGGATCAACCAAATCTAAAACCAGACCAATACACAATAATCTCCACCTTGGTCTGATTTCACGATCAAAGAATTACATGTGCGTTTGTTGCGATCTGACCGGTTCCCTGCACTACACGAGCAAATATGCTGAACAGAGCCCAATCTCGTTCAAGTTCAGCCTCCACAGTGCGTTCCAATACACAGCTCTAGCTCATGCTCCCGTTCGTTCGAAACCACACGCGACTACGTCCCTCATTGTTCCTCCCATGATCCACACGCTCATGCCTTGTGCAGCTTCAGATCCGCTTGGCACATCCGCGCTCCAACATTGTGCATACTCTGGGTAGCCAGTCTCCTCCGGGCACCAGTGCGCGATCCAACATGCGACTTCGCACGAGCCACCCGTCCAATCTCGAGACCGCAACCAACATGTCGCCCCGAGGTTCTTGATCTTGCCGCTTTTAAACCACTGCTCCGACACACCAAATTTGATCGAAATTGCTCACAACTATGCCTGAATTTTAACTTGGAGACTCCACCTCAAAATATCTAAAAAAAATCTTTATCAAGAAAAGGATCCGTGCCTCCAAGGTCTGCTAGCACGGCATCTGCTTGCCCGCGCCACCAGGCCACTTCTAATGGCCTCTCCCGCTCCTTAATCTCGCATGAAACCACACGCGTCACCCATGCAAAATCGTGCTCCGGCCTTATCCTGCGCTTACGCAACCCACTTCCACGCACACTGCTTCCACCTGTGTCATGCATGTACGCGCGCCTGGCTCACGCGCTCTGCACTGCAGCCTGCGCCCCGCATGCTCGAATTGCATGCGAGCACAGCTCGCGACCCACTGCTGATACCATCCTGCACGTGGTGTGCGACTGTGCCCACGCTTGTCCCGGCTTTGCGGGCATTTGGACCGAGCTCCACTACCCTGCGAGCCAATAAGCATCCCGAACTATTGCTTCGACCCGCCTGCGCAACACCCGCACGATCTCCCGTGTGTTTGTGCTTCTAGGCCTGTATACCTCCAATCCAGCCTGCTTGCCTCCGCCGATCCCGGTACCAGACCTGTCCGCCTCACGCAAACAAACTAGCATGAGCATGCTCGTCGACGGCACCGGTAGTCTCCCTCCTATCTTTCTTGGACGCGAATCTTCCTCCACCTCGATCACCTCAATGAGGCTCTGATACCTGAGGAACATGAGCTCTTCTTGAGCTTCTTGGAAGAGAGAGAGAGAGAGAGCAGGGAGGAGAGGGAGGGGTGGTGAGCGAGTTGACAGGAATTTCAATTCCTTTATTCAACTATCTTGGAGATTACCAGGGATCCCACTTACAACAACCAACAATGCTTATATATAGGCATTTATATTTGGTGATATGTCTTACGGATTAACCTAATCTAAAACCGGACTAATACACAACAATACATAACAAAAGTTCCCAATTCTAGTTTTAGTTATCTGATAACATCATCGCAGCCGAGTATTGCCATAATATTATTGGCCAAAAAATCACACTATATCTTCATTTGAGTGTCGACGATGTTTTGAGAGCAACGACAAAATCCGTTCTACGATCGGATGTCGTTTGGGCAATATCACGTCGGTTTTGGATGTCGGTCGTCCCTTTGGACCGATCTTGTCCGATTTGACTGCGAGGGATCCCCACTTAGGG